TTACTGCTCTTTTTGCACCTTTAGTGTATTCTGAAAAAACCCAGTCCATGGCTTTCCTAGAGAACCATGTTTGCCATATAAATATATACATGCATATAAATAGACATTGTAGTTTGACTTTCATACACATCAAGAAAGGGGAGCATACTTTGATCAGAGCTAAGTCATCAAATGAATGGAAATTGTATCTGCAGGAAAGATCATGAAGAGAAGCCCTAGCTCCCAGTGCGCCCAGACACCCCTTTGTTCTCCCTTCCCTCCTGCTGTGTATTTCACCACTGACATGTAATTTCATGTTGGGAGCCAGGGGCGTGAGCTCTTGGGACATCAGTCCTGAGCCCCACAGCCAACCCCGCAGCATGACCAAAGCAGGCACAGTCCATAGTCTCAGGCATAGAAAGATGGTGTTTCCCCAGGGGGCCTTCAGACTGGACATTGAGCTCACATTTGTGTTGCATCTTGATATTGCCAAGACTGCACCTCCCGATACCTCCACTGTGCCAACTGTTAACGAAGGCATCAAAGTGCCGGAGATTGTGGAAAGGGCTGAGGCAGGGTTGGGGTCTCTGTCTGGATCTCCACAGCCCCCCTGGTTCCAGCTTTCACTAGCACTTCTGCCTGTCCGTCAGATCCTGCTTGGCTGAGCTATCCATAGTGAGGTCATCTGGCCGGGATGGCGGGGTCTGGACTGTTGCCCAATGACACACACTGATGGCTCCCAACAATTTCAAAGTTTCTTATTTATTAACTTCAATGCAATCATGTGGCATGTGCTTTTCTTCCTTTCCCTCACTCCCCTATAAATCCCCAGGAACCCTCTGCATCATTGCATTTATCTTCTGTTTGCTAATTAACACTGCAGAATTTTGATATAACATTTAAAAACCTGCTTTCTTTAATGCAACAGGTGTGGGGTGTGAGTGTCATCTTCTCAGAGATGAGCTTCCTGGTTCATAATTTCCAGTCTAAGGTCCACTTAGTTGTCCCCTGTCCACCTTCCTCCCAGGCCCTGTGTCTGTCAGTGGTGGGGGTGAATCGTGTTCCCACCGCTGACTGTCACTGTCCTGAGTCCCCGCCCCTGCTGGCTGCCCTGCTGCTGCTGGACATGACCTTCCCTGGGGGTGATGGCTGCCAGCTTCCCCTTGTTGTGTATGGTGCTGACCAAACACAGGCCGAAGTCAGAATGTTCCTAGTTCACATCACAAGAGATTGATGCTGCTGAGTATGAGTGTGCAGGAGCCAGGTCAGACCAGGGCTGAGGGCTGGAGGGAGCTGTGGGCTCTGACATGGTGCTCGGCTCCCTGTGGGGCCTGTGTCAGGTTGGAGTCTCGGAGTCTCTGTGTTCTGAAAACGTAGAATCTTGTGAAAGACATCACTAATTTTACTTTAAATGAAGTCTTTCATCATGCCTATATAAGTAAAAAATTCTTTTTGTTTGAATAGAGATTTTTCACAAGCATAAAAAGATTGTCATGGGTTGGAGTCTACCGTAATGGCCCCGGTCAGCCATGGACGCTGGAAAACGGGGCAGTTTCACAATTACAGTAAGTTTTATTTAAATACACTCATAAGAAGAAAGGTGTAAAGGAACATAAGAATCACATTAGTGCATTTGATTTCAATTATAGACACGAAGAATGATGTTGAACGTGAAT